CAATCTGATGCGTATGGCGGCGAACCGTCGCTTCATAGTAAACTTCAAAGCATCGATAATGCATCATATGCCCGCAACCACTTGCCACGGGGCCCGATCGACAGACATTGGAAGGAAAGCCCTTCCCAATCGTCTGTCTCTCTGCGAGAAAAGTTTCGCCCTGAGCGTTGATTTTTTCTACCATCTTGCGGTTTTCATGAGCAATACCGAATGGTCGAACATCCTCAGCCGATCGATCAAGACTACATGGCGTTTGTGATGCCTCGCGAACGAAATCGGGGTCTTGGAAATCTGTCTGTCGGAGGATGCGGCTTTCGTTGAAGTGAGCGAATGTTCCGTAGAGATGACGATCGTCCGGCTCCTCCTGACACAGGATGCAAGTTCCAACAGGGTACTTCCAGTTGTGTTTTCGGTCCTCCGTTTGCTCATCATCGCCTTCTTCGTCCTCATCTTCTTCTATATCACTGCCCCAGTCAAAAGAAGCCTGATTTTCCATGAAGCTCTTCTGCTGTTGTTGGAATTGTGCCATGACCTTGGCTTGGCGACTCAGCGCTGCCTTCTTTCTTCTCTCGCGCTCTTCCTCAGCAGATGTGTTTGCTGGTGAGGCGGTGCTTATACGGTCCACGGAAGCACCCAGGTTCACATACGCTGTCTCAAAGGTGCGAGGACGTTTCTGGCGCAGACGCTTCAGAACGAGCGCGATTTTGGGATGGACTGCCTTGAACTCGTCCTTGGTTGACATCATATTCAGCAGAGACACGATCGTCCTTGAACTGTGGGCTTCAGGCATAAAGTTACTGCGGCCAAACTTTGTGAGGGCAATGTAGACAAAAGACTTCGGCGATTCTTCGCTCATGTCATCGTCACTCGACTTGTCCTCGAGAATAGCGATGAGCATGAGATGCAAGACAACCTGGAGAAATGTTTCCAGTCGAGTAAAAGGAACGGAGGGAGTAAATTTGCCGGCCACCAGGGGGTAGAGGAGTGAGTAGTAGATGACCTGAGAAAACATGCCGGTACTCGTGAAAGCGCCCAAGTCCTCAAACATACCTGAAGGGACTGGCCGGGCCTTGGGCTCGTACACGATTTCTTCAGCGGTCTTTCCTGTTCGCTTCGCCATCTTCTTTCGGTAAGCCAGCTCCGACTCCTCACGCTGGTTTTTATTGTAGTGCGCGATATAAGGGTCAATCTCCTCAATGTACTCGGGTCGAAGCTCGAAAGTACCAACATCGGAGACACCCTCTGGTGGTTTGAAAGTGGCCATTTCATCAAGCACTAGGTGGAAGTCTTCTTGCTCTTGATACTTCTCTGGCAATTTGTTACAGATCTCGTTGAACGATAGCGGCTTGAAACATAATACATGAGTAATGTCGCGGCGCATGGCCAATAGCCTGGATTTGGTCTCATCCTCTGAAGATATCAAAGAGGTCCGGTCGCTGAGCAAGACGATGAGAAGATGAATCATGTCTTCAACAACATCAAGGTGCTGAGCATCATCCTGAGCTTCAGATTTGAGCTCGAATAAGCCCTTGACCCAACTTTCCATTCCAAAGCGGTCGATAATCGAAGCTAGTACTCGGCTGGGGTTACAAACCACCAAAGCGGTCTGAAGTAGGAAGATATCCCGATGATGAGATACATCTCGCTGACCGACACCCCGATAAGTGCTGGCTTGGTGTCGCAGACTGATTCCATTGCGAACCCACATGTTGGCTTTGATCTGGGCAAGCCAAGCGCAAACACGGAGAGGGAAGTCGAAAGATGCGATGAGATAATCCTCTGCAGTGTAATTCTTTCGCGGTACTTGAGGCCTTCCCATCAGTCTTGGTTTAGATTTGAGCTCCTGTTGAGTAAAGCTCAGAAGGTTCCGCACTGTAGACACAGGAAGAGATCGGCCACACTCAATCAGCCAGGACAGCGTGTAGTGCAGGGCATGGTGGAAACTGATCGCGTCCTTCTCAACAACGAACTTGACGACATCATACGATGAAGACTCGCCATCGAACTCGAAATCACTCAATGTCTTAAACTGCACCTCATCTTTGATTTCACCTTGCTTAAATCGATGACGTTCAGCGCCGATAGAGTTCAAGATGACCGTCTTGGTGGTGAAACGAATTGCTTGCTGGAGGTAGTGGAACTCGTCTGGGGGGCAGTTGCGGAACGCCTCAGCAAGGTTTCGAGCTTGCAGGTTGATCTGCCTGGTCACAAGGGATGCCGTAATCCAGGAGTCGGCCTCGTATTCCACGTGCTCGACCACAGCTCTTACATTCGGCCCAATACATTGATGAAGCTTGACAAGGTCAAGGAACTGCATGAGGTAGCGGGGCTCACATCTGACGCGTTCCTGGACATGAGGAGCACCGAAAAGATACTTCAGGTCTTGGTAAAAGTGATACATGCGTCTGTTAGTAACCGATCCGCTTTCGAAGCCTAAGACTGCATCAGGGGATACATCCCAAGGATGTCCAACTTGACGGGTTGTTAAGAAGGTGTATAGGATTGCCAACAAGCTGGTCATAAAGTTTCCGCGTTCTACAACTTCTGCAGTGATTGATGGGGTGGTGAGCATCTGAAGGGAAAGATTGATGATGGAGTGATCTGGCTCTCGATCTCCAACCAGGTAAAGCTGAGCCAGGATGGTGTAAAGACTGGCGAATCTGAGGGCCAGTACCCTCTTGAATTCGGGAATAGTCACAACCGTAGAGATGTACAAAGCTCGAAGGTCGTTTCTCACCTTCTTCCACATCCGCAAATCGAACAGCAATAGCCAGTCAAGCCGAACACGGCGGAAGACATCCTCAGCTGGAGGCACGTTCTCGCGCTGAGTATAGACGGCAGGTGTCTCAATCCAATAACGCCCAGGTCTGGGAATTAACTTCTCGGTCTTACCAGGAGTCTTGGGAATCTCTGCGTTCGCCTTTGCGTAGATTGAAGGAGCGATTAGGGGCTCCGCTGTATCTGAATCGGAGGGTGTTGCTTCTCTGTCTCTGGCTCTAGCTGGAGCCTCGGATTGTGCCTGGCCCTGAGACTGAGCTTGAGCAGGAGGAGGCGGTGGAGGCGGTGGATAGCCTGCCATTGTTGCTTCGTCTTCTTCCAAAGCCTGGTCGTTGTCTCTCCAATTCATTCCAAGGTCTCCAACGTCTCCGCGGGCATCGACCATCATAACGTCGTCGTCCTCGTCCTCATCTCCTCCAGCCACTGAGCTGGAAGGAGAATGTTGGCCTTGGTCGTCCATGTCTGCATCGGCCTCTTCTTCGTCCTCCCCAACGTCATCATCGGAGTCGTCTTCAATTTCTATTTGAACGCCGGTACCGGTGTTGGCTGCAGCTTGTAAGGCCAGAATGAACCTAGCATTCATGCCATCAAAGCGACGTCTGCTGTCGACAATCTGATCGTCCTCCTCTTCGTCATCAATCAGACCCATCGTATGAGTCGCTTGGCTCCCTTGGCGCCAGGGGTTCATTACCTGCTCACAGACTGTGCGCCGAAGAATGCTGTTGTCTTGACCGACAGAGCAACCAGATATATCACTCAACCACTCAACGAGGGTGCCGCACATTTGCTCGCGGAACGTGTCTCTTGCAGACCGAATCGTGACCGTAACTCTGATGGCCTCCATTATAACCGCCATCTCCAAGAGTCGCTTCACGTCGGGCATATACGTCAGGATACTTCGTCCGATAGCATCAGTCTCCCAGGCATTCTCTGCGGCCAGCTTACGACTTTTTCGACAAGCGCGGGCGACTTGGTCTTGAACTTCTTGAACGGTGTGTTTCTCGTCGTTCCAAAGAATCAGGGCGAATTCTGTACATGGCTCGGTATCGGGACCGTAGTATTTCGAGGAGAGGCGTGATGACTGTTCATCTTCAAGGATTGACTCTTGTGTCTTGGCCTGTCGGAGTTGTTCTGGGGAGCATGAGATGACGTCGCAGATGTAGTCGAAAACACGACCGATGGTCATCTGTAGATTCGTGACAAGATCCTCAGGCAGACCGGCTGCCTCTTTTCCCTTTCCCTTATCTGTACCTCCCTGGATGTGAGAATGAATGGTGCAGAATAGAGGCGTTCGCCATGCTTCGTCATCTCCACAGTCACAGCAACCACTATTTCCTACTGATATGTGGATTCGAACCATGTGTCCTGTATGGTCGGTCGAGTCGAAGCACCGGGCGCAGAGGCAGCAAGTCTCGTCGGTACCACAGGTGCGGCACATGTACGATGCTTCACCCGGTTTGAAGATGTGCCCACATCGCTTCCCCCGCGCTGCCTCAGTATACTCTGCTCCCTCGACTGCGCCTTGAGAGTCGCTCAGCTTGAGGGTCTCTCCAATTTTACCATCCGGAAAGAGCAATCGCATGTATTCACTGTTTCCTCCTGCAAGAGACCAGAAGAGGCTGGTAAGCAGCTCGCGTGAAGCATCTTCGGTGAAGCGGTAGTTGAAGCGGGCGGGCAGGTCGGCCAAGAACTGGCAGAGCTGCTGCTCCTGGGTCGACATAGATTGGGACATGGTCAAACCAACCTCATCGTAGCATTTGTTGTGTGAAATAAAAAGAGGAGATGGGAAAGAGAGAAAAGAACAACGTTGATTGCGGTGTCGGCGATGTCGTCAGGTCGATTATTGATAGGCAATACCGAAGTGGGGGTTCCGCAAATATTGGAGAAAGGTTTGGTGGAACAGTGCACTGCGGATAAAGACGTCAGCGATTTGAACAGTGTTGAAGTAGAAACGTAGCTGATTTACCTACGGTAGCCCAGTAAAAAGACACAAAATCCAAAAGTGGCCGGGAATATGGTTGTTGCTATTGTCAGATTGTGTAACTTTTAAGTCGTCAAGTTGATGACAGTTCAAATGTTGGGCACGAATACGTCTGCGTTTTACTACCTATTGCATTGCATCCTGGGGCTGAATCACAGTGAGGTTCTGGTGCAGTCACCGAGGGGCAATACCTGCCAATCCAATCCAATCCACTACACCGCGCACGTATGAGTTGCCGAAACAGCTCTTTATTATTAGGTACAGTCACATTCACAAGCAAAAACGAATTGCTGTTACCACTCTTAACAGCAAAAGTCTGAGCATGCATGTACATGGTATTTAGGTATCTTCACCTCATGTTCATAAATGCTATATGCACATACGAATAGCTAGCAGTGATGATGGCTGTTGCCGGTTCAAGCAATCGACAACTGGAAATAATGCATGAACATAAGGAGACGTCGTGTGTGTGATCAAGCCTCTAATTCTCTTCTAATTTGTACACGGCTAGTGGCACAGAATCGATTCCTCGCTTCGCTCGGCCCGTTGATTGATGATCAGGTTTCATGTCCTTGTCGGCCTCTTTATTCCTCATCCTCATCGCCGCCCTCGAGGAACTTATGTCGGATATCCTTCCATTGTCGCTGCAAGTCCGTTAGCATCTGTCTCTCTCCAATTTCTGGTGTCATCGCACGTACGCCTCGGTTGTTGTTGTCCCAGACCTTGTCCATGACGTTGTTGAAGCCACTGTATCATAATCAGCGTCCTACCCCCGTTGGTCCGAAGTCGTATGCGGGCAGTCCTTACATCTCCCAAGCGAAACCAGCAGTGAAAACGGTAGCGAGCATCAGGTAGTTGGTGGAGAAGAGGCTCCTGTAGGAAATCCGCATTAGTCTCGGTGGTCGATGTGTTGTCGTGTCGTCGGCGTTGGCGTTACTTGCCTGTAGAGGGTGTTGGCGAGGGCCTGTGAAGATGCGCGATTAGCCATTGCGGTCGGCGAAGGGAGTCTCGAGGTAGCCTTTATCTTACCATTTTGATAGATGAGCGCGATTGAGCGTCTGTAACACGGCTAAGAGTCGGTGATGGACGTCTGCGACAGTCGATTGTGAGGCTTCGGTTGAAGGATGGAGAGGTTCTAGAGATTGTCAGGCCAGGAAATTCGCGAAGTTCCGGGCACAGCTTTACCTCGCCTGTGATTGGTCGGCTGGGCCATATATCCCGAGCCCCAGTTTAATCAGTATTTAATCAGTACGGAACTCACTTTCAACAACGATCTTTCACTTCATGGATGCAAATAGTTGTCAAGGAGGCTCATTTGTCGCTAACATTTAATGCTTTCATGAATGAATCCCCTATGAATACAGCCGCCACGACACTATCTTCAGTCAACTTGGCCCAATGCTCAAACGGGTTTGGAAGTATGATATCAACTACTATGTATTAGGACCATCTCGCAGGAGTAATTATTCTAGAAAGAACCATCACTGACATACTGGAACGCAATCAACAAAAATCACCGCTGTTCCTAAACATGATCCATCACTGCTCTGGATGCCTCGGGCTTCTCTTGCGCCTCCTCTTCTACCTTATCCTTCGCCTCTTTGTACCTACGTACTCTCTCCCTGAATCCAATGTGTTGCTGGACTCGCGGGCCCCTGATTGAGCTCATGACGCGAAGTGGTGGCCGTACAAATTCATCGTCAGACTCCAGCGACTTGTCAGCCATCAAATCTCCAGTAGGAGGTGAGATCCATCTTCTATGGAGGAAGCCCGGGAGACACGCAGCAATCCACTCATCGGGACAGAGTCTGATTAGTGCACCCCACGGGACAGAGATGGCTCCCAGACCGATTGATAGTCCCCATTCTTTACCGTTCAAGCGAACAATCTCAAAGGCATCACTACCTACGAAAATGATGAGGACTTGACCTCCAATCATGATGAGGTTGATAATGATGAAGAACATGTTGCGATGGAGACCTTCAAAGATGTTGAGCTTGTTATCCAGCCGACGGTTGCTAGAATCTCGATTAGCGAAGTAATCACTTATCAAAAGGCTTCGGAGCATACTTGATTTCGTTGAAAATTTGTAGCCAGACAAATGTGTTGAAGACGAGTGTCTTTAGCTGCTTGGTATCATGTTCGGAGTTTCCGTACCAGCCTAAAAGGTTCTTGCCACCAAAATTCAACACAAAAGTGATTACAAGTTGGCAAATAGCTTGTCCTATGATCATCTTTGCCATTCTCAATGTGATGAGCGGCGCCGACTTTCGATCTGGTTTGCGGTCAAGGACACTCCGCGTAGGGGGGTCCGTGGCCAATGCAAGGGCTGCAAAGGTGTCCATGATCAAGTTGACCCAAAGAAGTTGGACAGCGTTGAGAACAGATTCCTGCTTTCCGCTTGCAACAGCTGAGACGAATGTCAATACCACGGCTGTAATGTTGACAGTCAGTTGGAACTACCATCATCCGATCAGCTGAGCTTCATCGTTGCCGTATATTCAAGCTTACCTGAAGGAACTTTTTGACAGAATCATTAACAGCACGACCCCACATCAAGCCCTTGACAATAGAAGCAAAGCTGCAAGTCATCAGTAGTGTCCTGCTGTGGTATATGAACAGCTCACTTACTTATCATCAAGAAGAATAATCGACGATGCCTCCTTAGCCACTTCTGTTCCAGCAATGCCCATGGAGAATCCGATATCTGCCATCTTCAAAGCTGGTGCGTCGTTCGTTCCGTCACCGGTCACTGCCACCGTTTCCCCGAGATCTTTGAGAGTACGAACCAGGATCCGTTTATCCTCGGGGCTTGAGCGGGCCAGAACCTGAAGGTGTCTCACCTTTTGCTTGAGCTCTTCAGGTGGAAGTCTTCGAAAGTCGGGGCCTTCCATCGCGATGCCACCTTCATCAGGACGGAAAATACCACATTCAGAGGCAATAGCAGATGCTGTTTGGATATTGTCACCAGTGACCATTCTTACAAAGACGCCAGCTCGGCGACAGTCCTCAAGAGCACTGATTACAGTCGGTCGTAGCGGGTCTTTGATACCGTAGATTCCAATCAGCGTCATGTCTTGGTGCACAGCATTGAAGTCTGCGTGTTGCGGGTTATCTGGGGAGACAGCTCCCTCAGGTGGCCAAGATTCGAAGTCGCAATATGATGAACCGATGGTTCGGAGAGTCTGCCCTGCATAGGAGCTGATAATCATCCCGATTATGTCTCGATCAGCTTCAGTTAGGGGAACCGACGTCGGTTCCCCCTGCGACACATTTTCGAGACACTTGGTACACTTTTCCAGCAGTATCTCAGAAGCACCCTTTACGTATGCGCGATACTTTCCATTGGGCAGCTTAACAATTACAGCACTGTACTTGTTCTTGCTATCAAAAGGCACTGTCTGCACAATATTGGCAGACGATCGCATCTCTTGGATTGGCCCAGCTCCTAGATGATCTCGGCAATAGGTAAGTAAAGCAACTTCAGTCTTAGAACCGATGAATGTCTTCTGACCATCCTGGTCACCTTCGAATGCTGTTGAGTTGAGCACATTCGACTGGATGAGTAGACTCTTGATTTGCTGGCTTAGTCCATTTACGAAGTCGGCCTCTGAGACATTGGGTACAGTGAGAGCCTTCCGGTCGATCTTCAAAGACTTGTCCATTGGCGGATCAGTACCACCGAAACTTATTGTTTTACCAAGTGTGGCGGCAACTACCGTCATTTTGTTCTGAGTAAGTGTCCCAGTTTTGTCAGAGCAAACAGTCGTGGCATTCCCCATCGTCTCGCAGGCCTTGAGAATTCGAACGAGATTGTTGTCGCGAAGCATCTTGACAGTCGCAAAGCTCAATGCCAGTGTGACTGCCAAGGGCAATCCTTCGGGGACAGCCACTACAACAACGGTGACTGAGACGATGAAAATCTTCATGAATTCTTGACCCTTCTCAGAGGGAGATCCGCGGTTGTTTGGAAGCTGAGCACAGAACTTGATGAAGAGCACGATGAATAACAATAGCGCGGCGCCAGCACCTCCTTTGGCAATCCAATCTGCCAAGATATTAAGCTTCTTCTGCAGAGGCGTGTCTTCCTGTTCGGTGCGGAGGGCCATTGAGATTCGGCCATAGCTGGAATTGACGCCCACAGCAGTCACAAGGAATGTTCCATTGCCCTCATTGACCTTGCTTCCCGAGATGATGAAAGGATCGAGCTTCTCCGCCTCCTTGGTGTCGAGTTTCTGGATTGCATCGAAAACATCTGCTGCTGGTGTCTTTCGGAGCAGATCCGACTCTCCGGTAGCTGAGGACTCATCACACTTGACGGCGCTGCCTTGAATGAAGATACCATCTACTGGCACGATGTCTCCCGTAGCAAGATGCATGACATCCCCAACCATTACGTCGTTGATGGATATTTCTTGGGACTTCCCCGAACGAACAACATTGACCATACGATCATTGGTTTTCTTGGTGAGTCGAGTGAACTGTCGCTGCATGTGCCAATCGTTGATTGTACCTACAAGCACAACAATACTGTCCCTGTTAGTGTTGCAAGTCTAGGCGTGTCTGGGGTATTGACTTACACGATAGCAACGATGATTGCGACACCTTCAACCCATTCAACTTTCGGCTCCCCTTTTTTATGTTCACCTCCAAAAGTTTGGTAAAGGCCTAGAGCTAATGATATAATCGCCGCAATGGTCAAGAGAATGAGAACTTTATCGTTATAGGTAGTCCAAGCAATCTCCAGAAGAGATTTCGTCTTCTTATCGGGAAGGCGATTGTCTCTGAAGATTTTTTTCCGATCACAGAAAATCCCACTAGGATTGGGGTTTTCAGGAGGAGGAATATGAACTGCTGCTTCAGCATTACTCTCTGGTATTGCGTCACCGGCCGTTCCATGTTTTGGTGTCCCTTTTGGCGCAACTTCGTGGAATGCGACCTCTCCATCCACTGTGGACTCGTCGGTACTGAGGCCAGCATTGCGATTTGTATGCAGTCCCTTCTCTATACCGTCAATTCCCCCAAGAGCATAAAAGGCGTTGAGACTCTTGGGGTTGAGCAACTTCGAAAGCTGCCCTGGACTGAAAGCAAATTTGCTTTGCTCAGTTCTGAACATATCCTCGGTGCCTGGATCTGGGGTCAAGGCATCTGAAGTGTCTAGTAGGCTGGTTTTGGTGGCAACATGGTCGTTTTCTGGTAACTTGGCTTCCTGTGATAGATCAGGAGCTGCCATCTTGGCGATGGTGGCGAGTGTTGGCTGTATGTATGTGTGTTGGATGCTTCAAGATTGAAATTGATAGTTGACTAACTCCTGAGAGAGCCTTGACGGCTATTAAATAAGATAGTCTAAAAGCAGAACAAGAATGAAACGATTAAGAGGCTCCCTTTTATGTTGTGGGTGAAGTTTGGATCTTGAAGCCTCTGAAGAGAAGAAGGACAAAAAAAGCAGGTTACCGACTTAGACAATGACACAGACGGTAGCACTTGCCAGTGATTGGTACATGGTGTAAGGCAGATTGTCAGGAAATCGATGGGATATTGTTGGGTTCATATATGCAAGGGGCGGTTAGATACATGAGTAGTACTTGTTGAAGCAAAATAATTCCCGATTCATCCTTGTTGTAGCAAGGTATCTGTTGGATGCTGGCTACTAACCTTACCTTGCCTTGCCTATTCTTGGTGCGCTGGCCCAAGAGTAAGGGACTTCCGTACTCAATGGCGCACTACTAATATCCCTTACTAGGAACAAGGTACGGATGTCGGTTTTAAGTAGGTCCTTAATTGATGATCAAGTGTGTAAATAAGATCAAGAGTCCATGACAACGAGACACACATGCACGTGGTATGTGAATTAGACCGCTTCACATTGACAACAATCACATACATACATTTTATGATACGCAGAGGACCAGAACACTAGTTGATCATAGGTCAAGTTTTCGGTAGTGATACGCAAACTTGAATGGAATATTTGCGGGAAAGTCCCAAATATCAAACTCCAAACACGAAGTGGCATGAAAAATGCCTAACAAAACAGTGTGCCTAATAAGCACACAATCTGGTTCAAGCAACCTTATTCTTGATATGACCAATGCACTCACCAAACAGCCCTGGCTTTACACTTTTAACCGAGGCGAGCCTTGACTTGTATCCGTCCTGTCACAAGCAAAGTCGTGCGAGAGGCTGCTATCAGGCGTAATTCCGTAGGTTCTCGACCTGCCACGACCTATGCATGAAACAGCCAGTGACTGATTGCAGTGATTTAACTGGGCCAAAAATGTGAAAGCCATACTCGTTATGCAAGAAGCCTTAGCCAACGCTCATCAAACAACGGTGTGTTAATCTTAAGCTGTGGCAGCACATCATCCTATTCACAGGGGGGTACAGCCGTGTACAACATGTGGCTTTTTTCCACTCCATATGGCTACGTAGGACGTCAAAATCATGAAGTGAGGCTGCGTAGGCCATGTTCAGGTAAGAGAGCTCAGAGAATTTATGTTGCTTACACCAGGGCACATCTGCAACGTGGACGTACGTCCTTTTACCGTTTTACGTGAGAAAGGTTGAAACAAGGCGCCCTGCAGGGCATCAATCCCGAAACATGAGCCAATGAAAGGCCTCAGCTCAAATAAGCTCATTTAGCAGGGATACTCCCTTGTTGCTTGTGTCCAGTTTGGAATAAGTAACCATTGTGCTACCTAGTTAGTACTACTTAACAGCTCGGTTCCCAAAGCCCTGGCGGAAATCTCCCCAAGAGGACACAGGCGTGCTTGGGCAAATGTGATCATGGGTTGGCACACAATCGAGGCAACGTGATAAAACACAATTACATTGCATAAACCATGCAATGTTACTCAATAAAGGCTGTATCTGTACATAATTTCTGTATCATACCTACCTTACCTAAATGTAGCCACATGCATGTGGCGCTGCTCGCCTCCAGCCACTCGCAGCCCCCCTCCATGCCAACGGGAGTTCCAGCTCTCAAACTGCTTCGGTACCTGCCGAGCAGATTCCAAACCCTGTTCGTCTGCGACAACGTCCAGCGTCGGACTCGGGTGCTCTCTTCAATTGGCTCTCCCTCCTTTCCATCTCTTTTCGTGATGCCTTCACAGCCTTCGAATGCGGGCATCGTCACCGACGAGAACAGTGGTGACCGAGAGATCCCGCAGTCTGTCCGCGCAGACGGCAGTACTCGTAAAGCTATCAAAATTCGTCCGGGTTACCGCCCTCCCGAGGATGTCGAAGTCTACAAGAACCGCACTGCCGAAGCCTTTCGCGAGCGCGGTAAGAAGATTGGCATTCCAGGTGCCACAGGCTTGAAGGAGGAGAGCTCCGAACAAAGCTCGGCTGCAAGCAACAAGAACGCCAAGCGTCGCGAGGCTCGAAAAAAAGCAAAGGCTGCGGAGGGTGATGCTCCAGCCCCTACAGAAGAGACAAAGCCCGAGGAAGTCGATCCCGAAGTTGAGCGCGAGAAAAAGGCCCGAAATCTTAAGAAGAAGTTGAAGCAGGCTAAGGACCTCAAGAACAAGAAGGAAGGTGGTGAGGCTCTGCTCCCCGAGCAAATCGCAAAGGTCATCAAAATCAACGAACTTATTAGAGAGTTGGATGCACTCGGTTTCGACGCTGAGGGGGAGCCCAAGAAGGCGACCACTGACGACGAAGGTGAAAAGAAGGACTGAGACAGTTTATGCGACTTCGGCTCGAAATTTATTACTGCAAGATAAAATGCTTCGAACAGACGCTGGTAAATCTAGGGCCGCGTTTCTGTGTGAATTACTTCTCACCAGGACATATGACCTCTGATGCAAAGTCGGATGACCAAGATACATATTTTTTGCGGCCTATACGTAACTCGACATCAACAGCAAGCCGTCTCCCAGCTATTACACGGGATCATTTAGCCGAGCTTGTGGCCCTTGCCATCACTCGGATGTATTCTGGCCCTTCATTTTGAAATCGGCGCACCCTCTGCTCTTCCCGACCACCTTGTCGATCTTGAGGACAGACGAGCAACAGGCACGATGTGCTACGTGCGCAAAGCTAAAGGCTGGGTCGGAGTGTACCAAAATCATGTTTCTGAGTAAATTAGATATAAAATGAGAGCTACGAAATTCCCCAATATGTAATCGTCTTTGAGGCCAGAAAATCGGTCACTGGGGAAGACGCTGAAGGTCTTTCCATCCACGAAAACCATGCAGGTGGTGAGTGATCTGATATGCAGGAACATATGCATATGCGCGATAGCTGGACCGTATCTCCCTGCATCTCAGTTGGTATGTCTGTTTGTCGGTATAGTGAAACAGTGCAAGTTAATGTTCACGTATAAGTTGCGACGAGAGCCACATGGTGGCTTGCTGCATGCATATCATCGAATTTATGTGTAAGTATTGCACGCTCAAGGTGTATTGCGACCTAGCCACGTCCTGTAGCAAAGAACTACAGAGAAGCGTATTCGTTTTAATAACTAAACATAATATTCAAATATACAAGTACAGCATCTTTGCCTTTGATCAGGTATATCACTGTTTCAAGATTCACCTGAGCGACGCAGGGTAGGGAATAAAGCTTGACAAAATAATCATGAGAGGTAGTCTGCGACAAATCGTAAGCAGTTTAGGCTCCCCAATCGACTCGATGTTACATTAATATGAATTAACTTTAGAGAAAAAAAGAAAACAGAGGTGAAATAGCTGAGTAAATCAACATCTATCACACTCTATGCATTTTCAAGTTGTAGACATTCAGAGTTTGAGGCACGCTTTATTTTCTTCAACCAACCTGGATCAGCCAGGGAGCTCTTCGCGTACCGTATGCCGAGATTCTGCCGATGCAGCTCGAGCCGCTAGTGGAAGGCTCCAGCTGGTGAGGTAAGCTCTCTATCTCCAATGAGCAACCACCATCACCATCCAAACACCTCTCCGTCAACATAGACTAAGCATTCGATACCCAACAGACGACGCCCAAGACCAACGAGTTGACCGAAAAAAGGAAACAACAACAATATACGACTCACAAAAAAAAAGGATCGGAACAAAGTTATTCACAATGTCTGCCGAAGACGAGCGCCAGGCTGCCCTTAATTCCTACCGCACGAAACTCATGGAGTCGCGAGAATGGGAGGCAAAGCTCAAGAATCTGCGTTTAGAGATCAAGGACATGCAGCGAGAGTTTGACAAGACCGAGGACAACATCAAGGCGCTACAGAGTGTGGGACAGATCATCGGCGAGGTACTGAAACAGCTTGATGACGAACGATGTGAGGGCGAACAACATGTGGACTCGTACAAGATGGACGCATACTAACGGTTATACTCGCAGTTATTGTCAAGGCCTCATCAGGACCACGATATGTTGTCGGATGCAGATCAAAGGTCGACAAGGTCAAGCTCAAGCAAGGTACCCGTGTTGCCCTCGACATGACGACACTCACCATCATGCGAATGCTCCCCCGCGAAGTCGATCCCTTGGTGTACAACATGTCTCTCGAGGACCCAGGACAAGTCAGCTTTGCTGGTATCGGTGGATTGAATGATCAGATTCGAGAGCTTAGAGAAGTTATTGAGCTTCCCCTCAAGAACCCTGAACTGTTCCTCCGAGTAGGCATCAAACCCCCCAAGGGTGTCCTGTTGTATGGTCCTCCCGGAACTGGAAAAACTCTACTGGCACGAGCAGTTGCCAGCAGTCTAGAGACCAACTTCTTGAAGGGTATGAGCCACGCACTGATCCTATTACATGAACGGTTGCACTGACAACAAACTAGTCGTTTCTTCCGCTATTGTCGATAAATACATTGGCGAATCTGCAAGACTGATCCGCGAGATGTTTGGCTATGCCAAGGAGCACGAGCCTTGCATCATTTTCATGGACGAAATTGATGCCATCGGTGGGCGTCGTTTCTCTGAGGGCACTAGTGCTGATCGTGAAATTCAACGAACACTCATGGAATTGCTCAACCAGCTGGATGGGTTCGACTATCTGGGCAAAACCAAGATCATCATGGCAACCAACCGACCTGACACATTGGACCCTGCGCTTCTTCGTGCTGGTCGACTGGACCGAAAGATTGAGATTCCTCTGCCTAACGAGGTCGGACGCCTCGAGATTCTCAAGATTCACTCACAAAGTGTGGTGATTGATGGAGACCTTGACTTTGAGAGTGTGGTGAAGATGAGCGACGGGCTCAACGGTGCTGATTTGCGAAATGTGGTTACTGAAGCGTAAGTTTTCTCCCCCATATAACAAGGCGAAAGAAGTCGAATTCAATGAATCTGACATGCATATAGCGGTCTATTTGCTATCAAGGACTACCGAGACTCGATCAATCAGGACGATTTCAACAAGGCTGTTCGCAAGGTGGCCGAATCCAAGAAGTTGGAGGGCAAGCTTGAGTACCAGAAGCTGTAAGCAGCGGAAGGGACCAATATGGGTAGATACAACAGCGGACAGGCGCACGGAAACCCAAGGATGATGGAAGTTGATGGGTACAGCGTTGCTAGGTAATCTGTAAGACTGTACAATAGAGTCAGGGCAAGCAGCGATAGATTAGCTCGGCCCTAGAAACAGGAATGTACATGGCGTCCAGGAAAAGCAGGAAAGTTTCTGGCGACTATCACAATACATCTTTGACGAGCGTGAGATTCATATGCCAATGCCTGCAACGTAAGCAGCTAGATCCTTTGCGATGAGCTGTGTCGCAGGGTGCTGATACAATTGGTGAGAGGCTAAAGATGCCATGAAAACCCCCACCTTGACTCGCAAGGCTGATTCTTCTGAGTGAGACTGTCGGTTGGTCAAAGTCAGCTCAGGAGTGAGTAAGATTCGGAAATTATGCAATATGAGGTTTGCTATACCGCTACTAGTAGTAAGCAAGTAGCTAAATGAACGGCTGCAGTGAGTTCGCGTCTAGAACACCAGGATAGGGGAGCTTATGGCATCTTTAAGTTTAGGGCTGAAGGGCACTTTCAGCTTGGCATTTTTAGGTCTACAAAAGGCTGCTTTTTTCTGATAGTGTGCTATAGATCGTACTATCGATTTTCAATTTTCAACTCTCTTTTTTTTTTATAGGTTGTTAGTGCTGTAGAAAGGACAGATAGATAATTGTTGTAAAAGGGTCCCTTCTCACATCAACAAACAGCCACAGTAACGGGACTGACCAGGGTTCACCTTAAGCACCATCCTTTAATGATGATAGTGGGAACTTGCCCTGCTCTGCGGGGACCCTCTTAGGACAACGTGGCTGATGTCAGAGAGCTGGATGGTTCGTCTCTACGGGTTACCCGTGAAGAAGAGCGACTGTAATCTCTGGAGAACCCAGCCTGAGGATAACGGCAAGGCTAAAATAAACAGAGGCATGGAGTTGATATCTTGAACATGGGGGGACTCAATTTTTGGGGAAGATGACGTGGATTACGAGATGCTAACAATAGCAACGCATATATGGTTAAGGTCCGGAACTAGTTAATCGGCAAGTCAACCGACGGGAGAAAAAAGTGAACCAAGAGACACAGGGCCAAAAACAAGATTGATAGGAATGAATGCTACGGAGAAAAACACGGGCTAGAATACATCGAGAAGAGGAAAAACAAGCCAAGAAACGCGCTTACACTTGAGATGGGAAACAACGCCGAGCGGAACGGAATTGGCGCTAGTTAGAACGGGTTGCTATTCTTAGTGAGATTGAATTTTTTCTTGGTTGGGGCGATTGAGGCTGTGAAATCTTAAGTGAACTGAAGTGAACTGATTTGACTTCGAAACGATTGAATGAGAGACCCACGACCTAGCGACGATCCATCTGAGGCTAAGACCATCAATGCATCACTGCCCAGGTGCCCATGATCACAGAATCCCTCCAAGAAAATCAGTGTCAACTACTTGTTATTGTAGGAATATTGCTGTTGATCTTCAATCGCATAGACGCCATATGTTTCAGAAGTCATCACTGGGGGAAGCACAAGCTTCAGGATTCAACAACGACGTACGAATTCAGGGGCACGCATTGCATATCTGCATATGTACTATGTAGGGTATGCACACATCCACAGGAAGAGATGCAGGGGATCTACCAATGCCGAGTGGTGGCTTCCGCAGCCTAACACTGAATGACTGTGAGAGTCCCTGAGACCTTGGCTTGGCCAGGAGTCAATACGAATGAACAAAGGCACGAGTGGGGGAGACATTTCTCGTATGGAGGCGCAGATCTCTCGCTTCACGATAACGCTGCCGTTTCTGTTTCTGGCCTGTAAGTGGTAGAATATAGAACGAACTGAAACGAGCTGCAGCTTTCCACGCTTCTGTTGGTGTTGGCAAGGCTCGGGCTAGTCGGGAACCCCGTGAGGCTGGTTTAGGTGTAGGTGTAGGTGTAGGTGAGGGTGGAGGCGGAGGAGGGTGGATGACGATATTTGTGGTGGATTCTGTAGATATGATAAGTGACAAACAACTAACTCAATGCATACAGATGGTAACATAAAAAAAGACCATGGTTCGAGTTAAAGAGAGTGCGGTGAAAAAAAGAATGCTACTTTTTATCAAAAGGTACTTCTCCCACCAAGTGCAAGAGACAAAGTTTATAACCAGATTAGCTTTGTAGATCAGGAACTTGCCTTTCAGAAGTCACCATAATGGGATTATGAGATTGTTGTTAATTCCATACATCTTAGGTATCAGTACATGCGGCTCGGCGAGATGCGTTGCCATGACGAAGGTAGAGAGGGAAACGGGACCTAAGCTTCACGATCTAACTTGAACTGTGACAGGCCTGAAGTTGTACCAGGGTGTTCAGGCACCGCCTTCCAGGCCCAGGAATAGTTGAAGGGCGGGCTAGATTCAACGAGGCAAATAGTGATCAGTATTCTTAGAACTTCGATAGTTGTTGTAGATTATTACGAGCCTGACCGTAAGGCGTTGGAAAGCAACCAAAGACGGGCGAGATCTTGGTGGAATTTTGGTCTTGGACCCTTATGCAACCATTAGCTACGGCTGACAATGGCTTCCATTCTGTTCCAACTAACGTCTCAACAGCCGCAGGGCTACTGCCACGTTTACGATAACAGATGCCGTGTAACAGGATCAACTGCCCGTTTGTTGGTTCAGCGGTATGGAAATCGGTCACCAACTGTAGACCAAGATAGTCAACTCAAAACGCCTGATGGTGGTATATCCCTGAACCATCTCAAACTGCGAACCGCCCCTCACAGTTCAGGGTTAGTTGCTATGGAGTAGGGTGGTTGCTATCGATATAGATCCTCATGAACCTGCTATATTCCTCTGTTACCGCTCCCTTGTCTGGCCCTGCCCACTTCCCGCCAGTTCGTCGTTTCTCAACCTCTGTAAATAGCCTGTAAATAGCCCAGCGAGCAGATAAAAATACCATACCGAACCAAAAAGTTGGACTTTCTCACCCCTGTCTGGGCCCTGTCGAAAATACCCCCGCTACTGTCATCCTCAACCCCACTCTGCCCACCAAGACAGCAAGCTGCCTGCATGCAGAGCAGAAGTGAGTGAGAGACCTTGCTGAGTTGCAGGTCACTTTTCAGTGAAAACTGTAACAGAGGATACCTACCTAAGCATTAAGGAGCTTAGCCTCCATTCTCACCTCACTAAGGTGCGGGCCAGGGACTCCACACCATGGGAAGCTGGGACCATCCTCTACGGAGACCGCTCTGCCCGCCTTTGTCCTTTCGCCTTCACCCAATGTTGTAAGGTAAGGTAGTTGACTTACTGGAGCTCAAACGACTACATATACAACCATCTCCTCCTCCCCCCTCACCTTTCTTGTTCTGCTCTTCTCTCCTCTTTCTCCTCTCTCATCTACACCTTATTGCTTCTTGATACCCCTTCCTCAAAACTCTTCCGCCTGTTTCCTCTCTCTCACTCTCGCCCACACATATCCGCTCGCTATCGGCTCTGCTCTACTCTCACCGACCGTCTCTTAACGAACCCATTGTCCACGTTTTTCTACCGCAAAGAGCTCAGTCAACATGTGGTAAGGAAGCTTCCTCTTCCTCGTCGCCGTCACCGCCTTTGTTACCGCCTAGCCTTTTCGTCTGCCCCGCCAGCCACCGCGCTTCCACCGATTCTTTGCTTGCGACAGACGCACGCTAAGATGGAATGGATGTTTATGGTTCAAGGCGATGAATGGGAGAGAAAAGCTGGTACTCAAAGAAGGATTTCGGTGGCTCAATTGGTGGAATAACAATAGCTAACCATTACGATCAGTGGTATTTTCGGATACATCAACTACCTGGTGGAGAAGGATCGCAAGTTCATCCTCGACACTCTTGTCAACGGTCAGTAATTGCTTATCCCATGCCCATGCTCACAAGCATAATCATAATCATAATCATGGCTGCGCCCATGTTTTCCCCCTCCTCAGCTGCCCCTCACCACCCCTTTCATCAGCCATGCCCCGCCCCGCCATGCACTGGTGAGACGCGGGATCAGCGCCCAGATTCGTGTTGCTGACACAGCTTTTTGCAAACAGGTTTGTCCCGTCTCGAGTACCGTGGATATGATTCTGCTGGTCTAGCCATCGACGGCGACAAGAAGAAGGAGGTTCTCGCTTTCAAGGAGGTTGGCAAGGTCGCCAAGCTCCGAAAGCTCATTGACGAGTCCGACCTCGACCTCGAGAAGATCTTTGATTCACATGCCGGCATTGCCCACACCCGATGGGCTACTCACGGTCCTCCTTCCACCACCAACTGCCACCCCCACCGGTACGTTTGAGAATCCCGAAATTCCCAAATCCAATTGCTTGGTTTTTGATCTTCTTTGTTCCATTTTGGGGATGCGAATATCAGTTCTCAATCGGGAGAGTGATTTTGAACACGGTGTGCTAACTACAAACCCCTGAATGCAGATCTGACGTCAACTGGGAGTTCACCGTTGTCCACAATGGTATCATCACCAACTACAAGGAGTTGAAGACTCTTCTCCAGGCCAAGGGCTTCAAGTTCGAGACTGAGACCGACACTGAGTGCATTGCCAAGCTCACCAAGTACATCCACGACCAGCACCCCTCCATTGGCTTCACCGACCTTGCCAAGGCCGTTATCCAGGAGCTCGAGGGTGCTTACGGCCTTCTCATCAAGTCCGTCCACTACCCCCATGAGGTTATCGCCGCCCGAAAGGGTTCTCCTCTCGTCATCGGTGTCAAGACCGAGCGCCGCATGAAGGTCGACTTTGTCGATGTTGAGTACTCTGACGAGAACGCTGCCCTCCCCGCTGAGGCTGCTTCCCAGAATGTCGCCATCAAGAAGAACGACCTTCTTGCCCCCGACACTGGCCTTCTCGGTGCCGCCGACAAGTCTCTCCTCCACCGATCTCAGTCTCGTGCCTTCATGACCGATGATGGCATGCCCATGCCTACTGAGTTCTTCCTCTCCTCCGACCCTTCGGCCATTGTCGAGCACACCAAGAAGGTCATGTACCTTGAGGACGATGACATTGCCCACATCCACGAGGGCTCCCTCAACATCCACCGCCTCAAGAAGGCCGATGGCAGCTCCAACGTCCGAACCATCCAGACCCTCGAGCTCGAGCTCCAGGAGATCATGAAGGGCAAGTTCGACCACTTCATGCAGAAGGAGATTTTCGAGCAGCCCGAGTCCGTCGTTAACACCATGCGTGGTCGTCTCGACATTGCCAACAAGACTGTCACCCTTGGCGGTCTCCGCTCTTATATCTCCACCATTCGCCGATGCCGCCGCATCATCTTCATTGCTTGCGGTACTTCTTACCACTCTTGCATGGCTGTCCGCGGTGTCTTTGAGGAGCTTGCTGAGATCCCCATCGCCGTTGAGCTGGCTTCCGATTTCCTCGACCGACAGGCCCCTGTCTTCCGTGACGACACCTGCGTCTTCGTCTCTCAGTCTGGTGAGACTGCCGACTCCCTCATGGCTCTCCGCTACTGCTTGGAGCGTGGTGCCCTGACTGTCGGTATTGTCAACGTTGTCGGCTCCTCCATCTCTCTCCTTACCCACTGTGGTGTCCACATTAACGCCGGTCCTGAGATCGGTGTCGCCTCTACCAAGGCCTACACCTCTCAGTTCATTGCCATGGTCATGTTTGCTCTGTCTCTGAGCGAGGACCGTGCTTCCAAGAAGGCTCGCCGCGAGGAGATCATGGAGGGTCTCTCCAACGTCTCTGCCCAGATCAAGTCCATCCTTGAGCTTGACTCCTCCATCAAGAAGCTCTGCGAGAACTTCAAGAACCAGAAGTCTCTCCTCCTTCTAGGCCGTGGCAGCCAGTTCTCCACTGCTCTTGAGGGTGCCCTCAAGATTAAGGAAATCTCCTACCTTCACTGCGAAGCTGTCATGTCCGGTGAGCTGAAGCACGGTGTCCTAGCTCTGGTCGATGAGAACCTCCCTATCATCATGATTCTCACCCGCGACAACCTCTTCAAGAAGTCACTCAACGCCTATCAGCAGGTTATTGCTCGCGGTGGTAAGCCCATCGTCATCTGCAACCCCTCTGATGAGGAGTTCAAGTCTTCTGAAGCCGAGAAGATTGAGATCCCCAAGACCGTTGACGTTCTTCAGGGTCTCCTCAACGTTATCCCTCTCCAGCTCATTGCCTACTGGCTCGCTGTTCTTGAGGGTCTCAACGTTGATTTCCCTCGTAACCTGGCCAAGTCGGTCACTGTCGAATAAGCTCGTTACTGTGTTTTGACTGAATTGTCGATGTACAGTATGAGTTTGGCGGCTGCTTGGGTTCCTCTTTGCTACTAGCAAGAGGCTTATGATGAAATTTGGAGTTGGGTTTTGGACTGCACTGGCTTGCAATGAATATGTTGGTAAAGTCTTTTGTGTTTTGTCTACCTGGATAGCATGGAACGAATGTTTGGCAAAAATAAATGAATAAATGGGAGGCCAGGGACCAGCTGGTCGTGGTCAGTATTAGATGGTAACCCTCGAGAAGAGGTTGAATAGGCAAGTTGGCTTATTTACGATACACTAGTTCTAGGCAACGTAATCACGAATATCAAGTCTTGCAATTTGAACATAACATAATCTCGAATGATGCCATGTGATGTATTGTTACAACCCTACCATTTCCTCAATGCCTTGGCCTCTTCCCAGGCCATTGAATGACAGGCGGGAATGGAATTTTATCGGGTGCCTGTTGATCACTCCAAAATGTCAAGTTTTTATCATCATCATGATTTTAGCCAGCTGAATCTTCTCTAAAGTAACATCAATCAAGCCGCCTTGGCTTGTATCTTGTGTAACCTCTCTAATTGATTAAAGGGTGACTGGCTTTCGTCACTCAGTCCTCTCATTTCAGCACCTGCCACGATATTTAGACAGTTTGAGTACCATAACCGCGAATTCTCTCTGCAAAAGCCCAGCTCTGAGCCTCGAGCTGCAGACCATCGGTAAGGTCCACTCCCTCCTTTGTGACGACAGCCATCGAGTAAGAGTCCAAACTGCGAGCGTCGCGGTAGTATAGAACCTTCATGCATTCCTTGATGATCTTGATAGCCTCCTCCTTCTCCAAGTTCTGAGCGGTCTCCTCATCGGGAACATGACGACGCATGATAGGCTGGGCTAGCATGGAGCCGAATCCCGTAGCCAAACTGGGGGCACTGTAGGTGCTGCCGAGTAAGTCGGCAGCGGCAAGGAAAGGCTTGTCATCGTCGTCGAGACCAGCAACAAGAAGATGGTTCCACAGAGGGTCGAACTTGGAGCGGCGGCGGTAAAGCAGCTTTGCGAGATAGCGGTGGAGGTTTGCGGCATTGAGACGGGGTGCGTCGGGGGAGGTGTAGGCCTCGTCGAGGGAGAGGTCGATGAGATGGCGGTCGAGATACTGCATATCAGAAATGTCGCCGCTGAAGCCAACGACCGAGGACTCGGCGAAGGAGCGGAGTCGCTTGACATCGGTGAACCTGGCTAGAGACCCGTATGAAGCTGGAAAACATTAGCTTCTGCTTTAAGTGTCGATGCAGATAGAACGGACCTAAGTTATCAGCAGCCATGACAACACCATCCTTAAACTTGACGGCGATGACGGAGGTGCCAGTAACGATGGGCTGTTGGGTGTTTTGCTTGGGACCATTATCGGTCATGAAAGAGGCATCATAGGCACCATAAACATCGTCTCTAGGCTATTGGAGGTCAGTTTATTGTAATTGGCGATGTTCAAAGGTGTAGTATATGGGAGGACATACACGGCCCCAAGCTTGCGGACGGTGATCCATGGTTTATGTAGTTGAATGAGATGGGAAGAGAGAAATGTCGCGGGTATTCGTTACTTTGCCGTAAGAAAATGGGATCGTCAGTGTGTGTAGAGTATAGTTTTCGTCGTCGTCAGTGTTGATGAGTTTGATGATGGAGTTGAAAGAGCTGATATTCGTTGGCCCAGCCTTGATTGACTTGACCTCACTGTCGCGTCCAACGGCAGCCTGTGACCGGCGGATGAGGTGAAGGTGGAGGGGCGTTACATAAGCCAACTCTGGGACAGTGATTGGACCGATTGACAAGCTGCAAGAGCTGTAGCTCATAAAGTAGAGAGTACTTAGCGAACAAGCTATAACCCATGCGGCGGAAATGTACCACTACCAAGGGAGCTCTCGCATGAAGTTGAGCCCACTCGCACCTGCCCACCTTCCATGGCCAGCACTGGAATTAGAAGCCGCCTGCAAAGCGCAAACCATGAGGTAGGCACAGTCTAGGTCGACACCATCAGCCTCATCTCGACTAGGCCAATTCCTCACCGTACACAAACTCAGCCTTGCAGTTAATCGTCGCCGCCACTGTAAATCGCTTCGCTTAAATCAATTCTCTCCAACTCAACCGGAACAAATACCAAAATGCTCACTTCCGTGGGCCGGGCCGCCGTCCGTCGTGTTCAGACAACCCGCCTTTCTGCTTCCACTCCCTCTGCCGCCCAATTGCTCTCCCGCCAGTCGGCCATAAAGACTGCGCTCCCCATTCGAAGTTTCACGGTCTCAGCATGGTCCCCCTCTCCTGCCTCCGGTGATAAGAAGGCCGCCAAGAAGACGACGACGACCACCACCAAGAAGGCTACTGGCACCACCAAATCCAAGTCTAAGGTGACTGATACCAAGTCCAAATCCCAGACTAAGGCGAAGCCCAAACCCAAGGCTGCTGCACCAAAGCCTAAGAAGGCCAAGAAGGAGGTTGATCCAGAGAAGGTGAAGAAGCTCGAAATCCGGGAGCTCAAGAAATGGGCGCTCAGAGACAAGCTGGCCGTGCTTCCAGCCACCACTTGGGTGCTTTTTACATCCGAGAACAAAGGAAACCTCACAGGAACTGGTGGAATCACTCAGCAGGCGACTGAGCTATCTGAGAAGTTCCGTCAACTGACCGAATCCGAGCTCCAAGTGCGTCACCCTCTCCCCCCCTTCCTTTACTAAATGAGCTAACACAAAACTCAGGACCTCTCTCGCAGAGCCGTCGCCAACCGCCAGAAGAACCTCGCGAATTTTAAAGCTTGGGTTGAGACTCACGAGCCTGCGCGTATTCACTTGGCCAACAAGTCCCGCCGCCGCCTCGCTTTCCTGACTGGCAAGCCTGCTAAGCTAATCTCAGATGAGCGTCTGCCCCAGCGCCCTGCAGGCTCTTATTCCCTTTACCTTGTCGACAACTGGGACAAGATCGGCCGTGCTGAGACTAACCAGGCCAAGTTCAAGGAAATTGGCGAGGCCTGGAAGGAGCTGAACCCTACCGAGAAGGCACTATATGAGCAGCGCTCCGCTGACCAATCTGTCAAGTACAAAGCCGAGATGGAGAAGATTGACGCGCGCGCAAAGGTCATACAGGAAACTGGACTTGCCTAAGGAATTGAATATGAGGGGCTGCCACTTAGATTAGAGAGAAATTATATGTACAAAGGACTGTGTCTTGAGTTATCGTTGTTGTGCTGGTATAGGAACTCATGGTGTTTATGATCTATTTATGGTATGGTACTGATCATAAAGGGCTTGGGGTCAAGGGAATGGTAACGGGGACTTTGTCTGGTCTGGTTTGGTATATTTTTGTTCTTGTTTGTGTTTGTCCTGGATCGTGTATGGTACGACGGCCCTGGTTAAGACATGGCAAACCCCAGACTCAGCTGAGCTGGCAGTCACTTGGGAATAGTTGATAATCAAAGGCTTGTGCAACGTGCGTTTCGTCTATTTATGTCGCCGTAAAACGTTAAACGACAAAGCTCTGCAGCTCTATCCAGTTGCGATGATGTTCATGGCAACCGTTATCTAGACCTAAATAAAGAACCGACAAACGCCTCGCTTATGATACGAATATTCAAGTCTTCCCAGTATGCCAAGCCGAGTATAATATCCAAACTAAAATCTGGTGTGAGGAGTCACCTCATTCATCCCTGCTTCTCATAAGGCGGGATTTCCAGAGCAACTTCACCATCTGCTCCATACCACTTCGCACCATTTGTCTTGACTTGTCTTCCACTCGCAAGGTACAGAAGCAAGTAAGTATGTTTCGCAACATGACCCCAACAATAGAGGCGTATCCAATCGTGAGTTTTGTCTCTACGACACCAAGTTCCCCAGCCCGCCAAACCACTTTTGAGATAATTAGCGAGGAACACCCAAGTATCAAACCGGACAGTTGGATCCCAGTCGCTGCAGTTGAGAAGCCAATATCCTCGTTCGAAGGGCTCGATATCACGTTTTGTCGTCGGACGATATCTCGACGACAGATCGCGGGCGAGTTTTGCCAGCTTCTCAGATATCAAATCTGCAGGAACGACGTCGTCAACTCCCACGGATGGGGATGATGGCCGGATTTCCAAGCTACTACTGACTTGGTCCCCCTGTGAGTTTCTCGTTGATAGGACTGGGCCTGTATCGCTAGAGCTTCTGACTAGATCACCATGCTCTAAGTGTCCAATCTTAGATCGCTTTGATGGTGGAGGTTCTGACCCTGCGCGAGGCGATGGAGCTGGCGAGTGGCTGCTAACCACACTGCCGGAAATATGAGTGATATCTGGAGCCAAATGCTCGAAGGCTATCACCTCTGTATCCGCCGAGGGTATGGGAACCTCGGCTGCCTTGTCTGGTTGTGGTGTCGTGGGTACGACATGTAGAGCCCCTATAAACCCAGGGACCTCGAGAGGTAGAGATTCTTCTTGACTGGGAGGTGGTAGGGAAGAGGGAATATCAACTCTGTGTCCATATTCTGGTACTGGAGGACGCTTCTTATGTGCAGTTGGCGATGAAAATGACGCAGAGGCCTGCGATGACTGAGTTCTTCGGATGTAGCTCTGTAGTATACGTGACGGTGAAACGTCCAAGAGTGCAGCTTCTGGCATGGGATACGAGTCACTAACTTGACTCGCAGGCGCACACCAGGAGTTGATTGACCCGAAACCAGTATGGTCTGATGAGGGGATCGCACTTCTAGCCAATGCCTCACGCGGTAGGCATGGCGACGAGCGATTGTCTATAACTCCCTCAAAACTTAGATCTTGGGATGTAATCTCAAATGATCGTCCAAACGAAGTTGTTACCCTGGTCTGAGTAGGCGATGGCGCCCCTTGATATCTTTCTGGCACATGTCGTTGTTCCTCGCCTGTCTGTGACGCTATCAAAGACAGTTGTGTGCGACTCTGAGGCTCAAAAGCTAGATACGCCTGCGCAAGTTGTCGATATGAAACATCATCGGTTGACCGACTTGGTGCTGTAATGTGGACGAGAATCTCTGCGCCGTCCGAGCTGTTCCTTGCCATAGTTTGAATGCCAGTAAAGCATGTCGACTGCTTCTCGCCTAGAGACACTATTTCCCGAGGGAAGAGGAGTAATCGTGCTGAAGAGAAGAGAGAATGTTGTTTTCAAGGTCGATATTGGATGTTGTTTATATCCAAAGGGGTCCAAAATAGTAAGTAAAAGAGAGCACGAGCCAGGTGAGACAAGGGCGAAGGTATATGGAATGAAGTAGTAAGTAGGCAACAAGAGAACAAGAAAGAAGAAGAGTGGTTATGATGGTCCTTAGGTAGAGAAAGGCGAGAGATTAAAGAAGGAAATCCTTGTGGAGAAGTAAATCTCGTGACGCACGATATTGATTCACGCCGTAGACGTACAGAGGTAACTTAGTTGATGAAGCCGCCGAAGATTTAGGGAGCTGATCCACTGATTGGTTACTACAGTAGGTAGGCATCTAAGTTATGAAGGTGCCACAACCCCCACCATATTCCCATTAGCCAAAGATGCATTATCAGCCACACAGAAGAGGACCCCTGCTCTCACCACCAAATTACCTCTATCCATACAGTGGCCATACTGGACCCTACCGTACCCCAGGATATTGTCAAGAGCCCAGTCTCCCGCTCCGGCTTACTCTTCCCACCTCCTCGACTCCTACTGCTACCGCACTCTCACAAGTACAACACATACGCAGGAAGAGCAGACACACACCAGCGACGATGGCTGAAAAGACGAAATCTAGAGGTCCCCTTGGAAGAGTTGTCGTCATTGGCGGTAACGGCTTTCTAGGCCATCACATCGTCAACCAGGCCCTCGAGCAATGGACAACCACTGCCACTATCGGCGTCGACTTACGATGCGAGCGCAATCGCAATCCCAATGCCGAGTACCGAGAATGCGACATCACCGACCCCGAGAGACTTCTCTCTCTGTTCGAGGAGCTCAAGCCCGACGTTGTCATCCACACAGCATCTCCTGTTGCCGTCAACCCCAATATCGGTCATGATGTGTTCAAGAAGGTCAATGTCGATGGTACACAGGCTGTTGTTGATGCCTGCCAGAAGACGGGTGTTAAGGTTCTCGTGTACACAAGTTCTGCCAGTGTTATCAGCGACAACGTTACTGACTTGCTCAACGCTGATGAGAGATGGCCTTTGATTCGTGGGGAGGCTCAGACTGAGTACTATTCAGAGACCAAGGTTTGCTCACGCCACATTCAGGCCGTCCCAGACCGTCTCGCTAACAAGGTATTACCCGCAGGCCCAAGCAGAGGAGATCGTTCTCAAAGCCAACCGCCAGGAGGGCTGCAAGCTTCTTACAACCTCCATCCGTCCCGCTGGTATCTTTGGCGAGGGCGACGTCCAGACTCTCGCAGGCATTCTCAACGCCTACAAGCGCGGCAAGCACACAATTCAAGTCGGCGCCAACGAGAACCTCTTCGACTTCACCTATGTCGGAAACGTCGCCCATGCCCATCTCCTCGCTGCGCAGCTCCTCCTCGCCACTGCTGCCTCTCCCACCATCCCCCTTGATCACGAGCGCGTTGACGGCGAGGCTTTCTTCATTACAAACGACACACCTGTTTACTTCTGGGACTTTGCCCGTGCCATCTGGCGTGCCGCCGGTTATGAAAAGGGCACAGAAGGCAATTGGGGTCTCAACCGTGAGGTCGGCATCGCCATCGGCTATGTCAGTGAGGTTCTTGCCAACATTCTCGGCAAGACACCTACACTCACTCGCAAGTCTATCATCATGAGCTGCATGACCCGCTACTACAACATCAACAAGGCCAAGCGTGCTCTGCGTTACCAGCCTGTCTGGTCCCTGAAGGAGGGCATCGATCGTGGCGTGAACTGGTTCCTTGAGCAGGACAAAGCGGCTGCTGCCGCTGCCAAGGCGTAATCTTACTAGTAATGAGAGAAATGAATAAGAGGGGGTTCCTATCTAAAGGACAAAAGGGGCGAATGTGGTACACACTTCCTATCAGGCCACGAACAGCATATTTTGGCCTAAATATTCAATATGTGAACTCTTTAATTATTGCTTAGTCTACGAAGCTTCAGCTTAAGTACATTTTAATCTTGCCCAACAAGACACAACGGCTTGATATGATTCAAATGGCCGATCATACAGATGAAAGACAGTCCCTAATGTAACATCGGCGATAGATCCTATGGGTTGAATAGACTAATTTCGTCTTGTCCAAGCAAGTAAGACGAAGGTCCAGTCATTTAGTCGTAAATACCCAAATAGAACATAATCTATTGTTCCTATCGCTTATCGTCACTTATATCCGTGACCGAAAATCCCATCTGTTCCCAGAATGAAGCCAACATAAAGTAGTTTGCATCCTCACATCTGACCCAGCACACACGCATGAACTTTTTTGCACTACGAATCAATGATCCCTTTCATCTTTATCTCGCCTCGCCTCGCCCGGTCTCAACACTCCAATGGGAATCAACCCGCTAACATGGTTTACTCCATCCAACTCAGGTATAGAAGAAGATAGAAAGGGAACCGAAAAAAAAAAAAAAAAAACATAACAACACCCTCTCTTTGAACCCCTTTTTGTTTTGTAAGAAAAAGGTATAGCCCTCCAACCCTTCCCCTGTCCAAAGAACAAACACTGAACCCAAGAGAAGATGAGAGTAGTTGACATATATCTCTCATGTCACTTAGGTAATGAGAGTTTGAGGGGAACATGACATTTAGTTGAGGGTCGAGAAGGGAAGAATAATAGGAGCGAGATCATCATCTCATCTTCCCTGAAGAATGACGAAGAAAAGAAAGAAAAAACTACCAGGTTTGTCGTGTCGTGTGGTGTAGAAAACGATGAATGCTAAGGGCTTTTGTGATTGGTAAAATGCTTTTTCCCTTTTTGTTCGACAGTTGCATGCTCTGATATAGCATATATAAGCCTGAGGAAGAAGCGAAGAGAAACGCCGTCAACTATGCAAATGACTCTCTACTCCCAAATCATACCTCCTAAACTGCACGTAGAATAACGAAACGAAGCTTGACGCTGGGCGTTTCCGGGCCCAGCTGTAATCAAGAATATCATTGTAAAAAAGAAGTATCATGAGTTGCCGGACACACCGAGTCCGCTGCCTTGACGTCCCATACCAGAGTTACGCCATTCTCGTCTCCTGCTGTGCTCGGCGCTGTCGAGCTGACTGTCCGACTGGTTGAACTGATTGACCCCATAAGGCGAAGCATTGCCCAGATCGTTCCGTCCTCGGAAACGCGCCGGAGGAGTTCCATGCCCATTGTTGGGGATAGGCATTGAAGGGTCTTGTATCGTGCGAACAGTGGCTTCACCCTGCCAAACTGCTGGGTCAGTTTCTACTCGCCGAGCTGGTGGTCGGGTGGAGTTATCCTGACGGTTATAGACCTCGTTGACATCAGCAATGGAAATCTGTCCTCGTCGATCTTGGAAACGCTTCAGGATGTCCTTCGTTGTAAGGTCTCCACTGTTGGTAAAGATATAAGGGTCGTTCATGAGACCAAGGATCTCATCAGGAACCTGGAAAAAGTCAAGTCAACACAACGTCCACCACCGTAAAGAATGCCAATTCTTACCTGGCACATTTCCTCGATATGTGTAATCATCATTTCCACAGCATCAATAACATACATAGCCTCGCTATCTAAAGCGGGTGCCCTGTTGGGATTCGTTAGGATATTGGGCGCAATAACGGTGGCAAGATTTCTCGTATCCATCTTAGAGCCAAGGTCTTCATCAAGTTGGTGGAAAGTTCCAGCCCACTTCAGGAAGCTGAATAGAATCTCAAGACAGTCTCGGTGGCTCTTTGGTAAGAGACAGCAGGTCAAGTGCAGGCACTGCTTTCTCTTTTCAGGGTCCGAAATCTTGGCAGCGCTGATCCATAGCCTGTACAGCTTGTGAGTCATCAGGGGATCTGGTAGATCTCGCAGGTAACGTTTGAGAAGCGCAGCAAGCTGAACAACGGGCTGTTCCATAAAGTTGACCACGTCACAACCCTCGGCGTTGATAGTATCCACCAGGCCTTGCTGCTTCTTGATGTTGCCGTTCTTTCGGAACACGCCCTCAACTGAGAGATCCATCTTACGCATCGACGATACAATATCATCGATAACAGCTGGGATCCGAAGTGTGCCCGGACCAACACCGTCTGTCGAATCCGCACCATCCCTTTCGATAATGATCTCCAGAGGTACACCGAACACACCCTTCTTCTTGACGTTCTTGCTCTTATCGTTCTTGAAGGCTTTACCAAGATTCTTCCAGAAAGTCGCCTGTTTGCGCGACTCAATGAAGCTGAGTAGTTCTTCCAGCGAGAATTCTTGCTCAATCATGGGCTGCATGGTGAGGACAGCAAGATGGCGGACATTAAAGTATTCGAGACCAGACAGTTCAGAAAAGAACTTTCGTCCAATTCGCTCTTGCACTATTTCAGTGCGCTCTCGGTCGGCTGACTGCGTCCGTAGATGACCCTGGTTTGAAGATGATGCATCTAGCGAGCGGTCTTGAAAGGGCTGAGGTGCTTTCTGCTGCAGATCTCGGGACTGCTCAACAGCTACTATCCTTGAAATATCATCCAAAGTGATACCGTCATTTTGTCCAAACATTATGTCGGTCGAGCCTTGCGCACCATGACCCTGCCCAGCATCACCAGATGAACCTGGGCGCGGTCCCCTGCCATCAGTGTCCATCACTCGAGAGCTTCGGGCTTGTCGAGCACTAGACGACAGGTGCCTATCCAGTCGCGTACTTCGTAGCCTGCGCACATCATTAAGAGTGTTCTCATAAGACGACTCTCGTTTGCTGCCACCGGGTCCACGTGACTGTGAGTCTCCTCCCCTTGACCTCGGATCACTTCCTTGACCATCGCCTGTACCATACCCGTTATTATCGGTGTCATCCTTGGATCGCGGGAGGGTTCCGTTAGCTTTTAGAATATCCAGCAGCCGAGCCAACGCGACTCGAAGTAGAAAAACATATTGTTGTAGTTTTGAGACGTGTTCGAGTGGTAAAGCATTGGCTCCAGCACAGTTTGTGCAGTAAATCTTTCGATCCAATGAGTTAAGGCGGGCCTCTTGTAACGACCGTCCAACATCTCGCCCGCACCTTGTGCATTTAACACAGTTCAGGTGCCACCTCATGTCACCATTCTTAGCACACTCGTCCTCGACAGATCTGTGGCAAAGGGAGCAGTGGTCAGAGTCGTTGGCAGAGAGCTTTCCGCCGCTTGCAGTCACCGACAGCTGACCGTCATCGTTCTTTACTGCGTCAAGGTCGCTCAAATCGTCTAGGAACTGGTACAGGCCCGTAGATGCACTGGCTTCGCGCTCAAGACGGAGTGCACCCTGAAGGCAGATTCGAATGAGAAGTTTGAGATAATGGGCAAGACCTGTGAC